GAGCTCTCTCTGTAGACCAGGCCAGCCTTGAACTCACAGAGATCTGCCTGCCTCTGCCTCCTGAGTTTGGGGGGTTAAAGGCATGAACCACCACCACCTCGCCAGTAAATACTATTTATTTTTATTTTTTTGTATTTATTTTTGGTTTTTCAAGACAGGATTTCCTCTGTGTAACATTCCTAGCTGTCCTGGAACTCGCTCTGTAGACCAGGTTGGCTTCCAACTCACTGAGACCCATCTGCCTCTGCGTTCCAAGTGCTGGCTTTAAAGATATGTGCCACCACCAGGCAGAAAATATTATTATTATTATTATTATTTATTTATTTTTCCGAGACAGGGTTTCTCTGTGTAGTTTTGGTGCCTTTCCTGGATCTCGCTCTGTAGACCAGGCTGGCCTCAAACTCACAGAGATCCACCTGGCTCTGCCTCCCAAGTGCTGGGATTAAAGGCATGTGCCACCACCACCTAGCAGAAAATATTATTTTTAAAAAGAAAGAAAAAAAGCCTATTATTCTCTAGGAAACTGTTTTTTTTTTTTTCCAGGCACTCCATAATTTATTTATTTATTTACTGTTTTTTTTTTGGGGGGGGAGTAGTTGTTGTTTTAATGTGTGTGGGTATTTTGCCTATCTGTATGTTTGTGCACCACTTATATACCTGGTGCCTGAGGAGGCCAGAAGAGGGGATCCGATCCCTGGAACAGAAGTTACTGACAGTTGTGAGCTGCCATGTGGGTGCTGGGGATGGAACCTGGATCCTCTGAAAGAGCAGCCTGTGCTCTTCACCGCTGAGCCGTCTCTCCAGCTCCAAGAATTATTTAATTAACTAATTATTCTGGGAGTAGCTCCGGTGTGCGCGGGAGCAGGTGTGAATGCAGGCGTACTAACACTACAACACTCGGCATGTATGGAGGCGGACCTTTGGGAGCTGGTTCTCCCCTTCCGTCATGGGAGCCAGGGCTCACTTTGTCAGGTTGGCAGGTCAAGGGCTTTTACCCACATCTTACTGGGTCACATTCAAGAGTGTCATGGTCGGGATGGAGCTTTTTGGTACATACTTTAATCCCAGGACTCAGGGGAAAGTTTTATGTGAATTTCCGTGAGATACAAGGCAGTCAGGACTACATAATGAAACTCTGCTTTTTGCTGTTCTTGTTGTGTTTGTCTTTGTGTTTTTCAAGGCAGGGTCTCTCTGTGTAGCCTTGGCTGTCCTGGAACTCACTCTTGCAGACCCAAATAGCCTCAAACTCACAGAAGCTGTGCCTGCCTCTGCCTCCTAAGTGCTAGGATGAAAGGTGTGTTATTTTTAAGATCTCAATGAATATTGGTTCTTTTCTCTGGCATGGTCTGAAATGCCTTTATCCTTTAGGATTGAGTGTGGAAGGTGAAAATTGTTTATGGGAGACACCTGGAAGACAGCGTCATTGTGCCGCCAGCTTCTCCCTCTCCCTCATCTGTCCTCTGAATTCCCCTGGTGAAGCTTTATAAAATTAGGATTCATTTGCCAGCAGCCAGGGCAGCTTGGGGACCTAAGATCTGAGATGCAAATGTTAACCTTAAACCACATGACAGTGGGCACACGGAACAGACAGGAAACCCTTGTGTTCCAGTGTGAGCCAACCTTGGGAAGTCCCCTTAGCTCGTGGTGCGGTCTTCAGGAGGGCCTGCCCCCTTTGGCTCAGAGGTATTTCAGCTGGGGCCGCTGTTACTGAGGCAATAGTCTCCATTGTGTGGGCAGCCTCCCCGGGTAATTGACAGCGACAGGGGTTAGGCCACAGAGGAACACCTCCCGCCCCGCCGGATCAGACATCAAAGGCAATTACCAAAAAGCCCAGCTTTCAGGGAGTGCATAGAGAGGCAGTCACTCAGAATGTCATTTGGGAGATAAATTCCTTAGATTAAAAATCTGAAAACGAAACCCCAGGGTTTTCTTTCTATGAACACCCAGTTTGCAGTTAAAGAAGTTACCAGCCGCTGCTGCTTCCTGGGCTGGAATGTTTCCTGTTTGCAAACACACTTCACTCCAGTACTTCAAACGCCGGTCTGATTACACTTCCCAAGTGGTCACATCTGTTCGTTCCATAGTAACGCCATACGTTTCTTCCTGCCTGCTTGTAGTAAATAACCGCCCCCTCCCAACTATGGGCAAGGCATCATCGCATCAGGCAACCTGACCACGATGAGGGCGAGCAGGGAGCACATACATGAGGGAGGGACAACGCTCAGGAGCTAATTATCACCGTGGCAATTATATTTGTCAGTATTGACTCCAGGCCGGTAGGACAAATTCCTCTCTGGCTGGTCACAAAATCTAATAGACCTGATGTTTAAATGGTCCCAGAGAATTGAGCGTCCCCCTGCTTTTTTAAAAAAAACAAACAAACAAGAAAAAAAAAAAAAAAAAACACAGGATCTTACACAGTAGCCTAGGCAGGATAGAACTCACAAAAAACGTACTTCGTCTTTCATAGGTGGGCATGGTGTCCTGCCTATAATCCCAACATTCCAGAGGCTGAGGCAGGAGGATGAGGAGTTTAAAGCCAGCCTGAGCTACATAGTGAATCTCTGTTTAAAAAAAAAAAAATTCTAAAGCTGGGTATGTTGGCTCACATTTATAATTCTGGTAATGAGTAGTTTAAAGCAGGATTGCCATGAGTTCCAGACCCGCCTGGATTATATAGTAAATTCCAGGCCGGCCTGGACTACAGAGGGAAATGGTGTCTCAAATTAAAAAAAAAAAAACTGGAGATCTTCTTGAACTGAAATTCAGATACTTTTTTTGGGGGGGGGGTGCACAGTGGGGATCAGATCTAAGCCCCTGCCTTTGCTAAGTATGGGCTATACCACTGAGCCACATCTAGAGCTCAGGAAACTCAAAGAGCTTTGAAAACCCGAAAACATTGCGAAGAATGTGGCCGACGCACGGCCAGGCAAAAATATTCCAAATCTCCCAGCGACAGACATGCGGATGCTCTCCACATCTATTCACCAGCTCCCACTGCTTGCCTAAGAACATGAGCTCTGTGCTGTGGCTCGCTCACAAGCCTGCTTTGAGCACAGATGTGGTTGAAACATGGAGTTTCTAAGCCGTGAGGGGCTGAAGTTGCAGCTCCTTAAGAATGTGGTTACAGATCTGTCTCCACGGGAACAGAGCATCATTCTTCCTTTGTTTCTTGTGTGGAACAAATGAAGCTCAGAGTCACAAGCAGAGATCAGAAGAAAATGAGACCCACCACCCACAGTAGTTATAATTCTGGATTATTCTCTGTGTGTACCCCGTCATTAAAGACATCTGTATATGTGTATATGGCTTCATAAAATAAAAATTCAAAGCTCTTCAGAGCCAGCATGGTGGTGCATTCCTGTAATGCCAGCACATGGGAGGGAGACGCAGAAGGAAAAGGAGTTCAAGGCCATCCTTGGTTTCATGGTGAGTTTGAGGCCAGTCTGGGAGGCACAAGACCTTGTCTCAGAAGACCAGTGCCTCTCTCTCCCCTTCAAAACAAGCTCTTAAAACTGGAAGAGTTTCCCCATGATCGGAACAACTGTTTACTGTGATGGTCACAGCAGTTTTAGGAACTCAAGAGATCCTTATGACAATAAAATCTGTCCCTGCCTTTGGAATTTTTGAAAACCAGACTTGGGACAAAATGAAATCCTGGGGCCCTCTGACTTTATGATCCTGGCTGACCTGGGTCAAGGCAGCTTGCTCTGTCTGTCTGTCTGTCTGTCTCTCTCCCTGTGTGTTGGAATGGGGATCCCAGGTCTACTGACATGCTAAATAAACATCACCCGCCACTTAGCTACCCTAAATAGCTGCCTATTTTCTCTTTTTATTTTGGTACAGAGTCTTACTGAGATGCTCAGGCAGGCAGTGAACACTGGAATGATCCTCCTGCCTCAGCCTCCGCAGTAGCTATTACCTGGCTGTGAGAGCAGGCCCCGCCACGAGGGCATTTCTTATTTGCTTTCTGTACACCTGTATTGTTGTATATTGTTTCAGTCTTTTGTTTGTTTGAAATGGTCTCAGTCTCTAGTGCAGGCTGGCCTCCTTTCTGTTGTTGCTTGAGACAGGGTCTCAGGTAACCCAGTCTGGTCTTCAACTCCATCTGTAAGGGGCCTTGAACTCTTGATCTTTCTGCCTTCCCCTCCTGGGTGCAGGGATTACAGGAGCACACCACAATGCCTGGTTCATCCTATTCTATTCGCTACATGGCTGAACTCTGATGCAGCGTGGAAGAAGCCCACACACAGACCAATGAGGGGCAGGGGTCATTTCAGACCATCTTGGAGGTTGACTACTTCCTAGCTCCCTCTTAGGGGCCCTTTAGCATCTCTATCATTACACTTAAGATCTCCGGTGGTAATTACACACTCCTGGATCAGCCTCCTCCACTCCGCTGAAGTGCCCGGAGGCCTGCGATGTGCGCTCTTCTGTCTTTGGGTTTTGTGCTAGCCCAGCAGGAGCCAGAAGCATAATTTTAGCGTGAGCTCAACACATGTTTGTGCACAGCGTAATCGTGCAACTGCCAGGGAACAGGGAGGTTTGTTTTTGCTGGGCAGAGGGCATCTGAACAGGTTTCGAAGGAGGGAGAGGCTGTGATTCAGTGAAGGAGAGGAGAGAAGGCAAGACCGATAAAGAAAACAAAAACCCCTGAGCGATAAGTAGCAGTGCAGTTGTTGACGAATTTAAATACCGTGGTGGTGAAAGCATCAGGGTGCTTTTGGCTCCATGGCAGGGCCCATCTGGAAGGGGAACCAGGAAGGGCAGAAGTGCAGGTGGGGGCTGGGAAGACAGCTCTAAGGTTAGCTCAGGATTAGGACTTACTCATCTTGCAGAAGACCCGGGGTTAGTTCCTAGCACCCACCCCAGGTGGCCCACAGCTGCCTACAATCCAGTTCCAAGGGGATCCAATGCCTTCTTCCGGCTTCCAGAGGCGCCTACACATATGCACTGCACATAAGCTCATGCAGATACACACAGGTACACATTAGTTAAAAAGGGAAAGTCGGGCTGGAGAGATGGCTCAGAGGGTAAGAGCACTGACTGCTCTTCCAGAGGTCCTGAGTTCAATTCCCAGCACCCACATGGTGGCTCACAACCATCTGTAATGTGATCTGGTGCCCTCTTCTGGTCACACATGCTGTATACATAATACATAATAAATAAATCTTAAAAAAAAAAAAAGTGAAAGTCGGTCTCAAGGTTGTTGTAGATGCAGACCATAATGCTACAGGAATCTCATTGTCTACATTTCTGCTTCTTTCTCTCTGTTCATGAGACATCTGACCTTTGGTAGGTCCCAGAGAAGGACTCATTTCTAGAATTCAACATGGGGGCCCACATGTACCAGGTAAGTGCTCAGTTACTGAGCTTTCTCTTCAACTGCAGGAGAGAGCCCCTTTTCTTTCATCTGAATGGGAACATTTTAGGACACAATTCTGAATTGCCTAAATGGAACCAGAGCCCCACACCTGTGAAGGTAGTTGGCAGCTGGTGAAGGACAGGTTACTCAAATTGGAGGTGCTCACAAGAACCATGATTCAATTCACTAAACCTGTAGTGTAGGCCTATAATCCCGGCTATTCTGGAGGCTGGGGTAGGAAGCTCACAAGTTTGGGACCATCTTAGACCACAAACAAAGAATCCAAGGTCAATGTGGACAATTTAGTGAGACCCTATCTCAAAATGAAAAGTAAAAAGAGGCCTGGGGTTGGGGGGCAGGTCAGAAGTATAGTATTTACCTAAAGTGTGTGAGACCCTCAGTTCAATCCCCAATGCAAAAATGAAAAAAAAATCAGAATGTGGTTAGTAACCAGTAACATAAGAGAGAAAGGCGAGGTAGACAAAATGGTGCTCAATGTATCAGCAGCTGTCAAGTCTCCTAAACTCTTGAAAACCATCAAGAGATGGATTTTAATGGGGCTAGAATTAAGAGCACTTGCTGAACTTCCAGAAGACCCGGGTTCAGTTCCTAGCACCCACATGGTGACTTACAAGCATCCATAATACCAGTTCCAGGGGCTCTCCCACAAACACTCGTGACCTTCTATAGATAGGCATCAGACACCAGATGCGTACCAACTGAACATTCATACATGTAATCAAAACACGCATACATGTAAAAATTTTAAACATTAAGTCTATTTTAGAAAACTGAATATTTTAGGGCTGAGTATGTGATTCAGTGGTAGAACACTTGCCTAGCATGTGGGGAGTCCCTAGGAACAGTTCTCAGAATATTAAAGAAAAGACATGCCTGAAATCATTAGTACCCGCTGTGTGCATGTGTGGTAGGCTGGCCTCTGAGCAGCAGCAGCTCTGATGGAGAGATCTGCAGATGCTGTGTTTACTGGGGCTACTGTATGAGCAGCACCCGGAAGAGGACAAGGAGCAAAGAAAGCACTGGAGAGAAGTTGAACTATGATGCTTTAAAAGCAGCTAAGGCCTTCAGAGAGTCCACGCAGTTCTGAGGTTGGCTCCTTCTGTGGTGTCCCAAGCTGAGGCAAGAGGAGGGTGACTGTGTTACATGGGTTCTTGCTTTGTTTTCCTCGGTGTTGGGGGATTAACCCAGGGACTCTGCATGCTGTACCACAGAGCTCCACTCCCAGACTTCCGTGAGAGCCCTTTAGAGAAGTGGACCCAACTGCACATAGGAAGAGATGTAGGGATGGAGTTACCCTGAGAATCGACTCATATGATTATAGAGGCTAAGAAACCCCACTCTATGCCATCTGCAAACTGAAGGAGGGAACGTGGCTCTGTCCAAGGGCAAAGCTCTGGAACCCAGGAGAAGGGGAGGGGCAACCGACCCAGGTCAGGGGCTTCAGCCCAAAGACTGGAATTCTCATGTCCCCCAGCATCAGAAGATGGCGCCCCAACAAGAGATGAGAAAGCAAATTCACCTTTTCTCCTCTCTGTGTCTCCTGCTGATGGGAGTTGCCTGCCCATATTAGGGGAAGGTCCTTCTTTCTTACTCAATCCAGATCCAGATGCCAGCCTCCAGAAGCAGCCTCCCAGATGTACCCAGAATAATGTGTAGCTGCTGGGGCATTCCTTAAGCCAGCCAAGCTGACCTTTTAAATCCAACCACCCCAGTTTTCCCAAAAAAAAAGGAATTTCCAGGATGCTCAGTTTTGAAGTCAGGAGAGTTCTAGGCAAATCAAAATACACCAGTCACTTTGGAGGGCAGCATGACCTGTCATTGAGTCTGGACTGTCCCTGTGAAGTGAGGAAACTGGCTAGTATACCAAAGCCTCCACTTCAATATATAAAACCAAAAGAATGAAAAACAAAACAAGCCGGGCGGTGGTGGCGCACGCCTTTAATCCCAGCACTCGGGAGGCAGAGGCAGGCGGATGGATCTCTGTGAGTTCGAGGCC